TTTTTTTTTTTTTTTTTTTTTTTTTGGTACCAGGGATCGAACTCAGGATCTCATGCTTGCTAGGCAGGTTCTGTGCCACTGAGCTAAATCCCTGGTCCTCTTGGTTCTTATTTTGCCCATTCCCCTTCCCTTCATTCAACTCCTTCACCCTTCCATATTTACAAAAGCTTTGTTTCCAGTTTTTCCTTTCTCTTCTCCCCCCACCCCGCCCTTCCTAGTTCCCCTTCCCCTTTTAACATTGTCTTCCTACGTCACAAAACAATATGGAGCTCTTCATGAATTTGCGCGTCACCCCTGCACAGGGGCCATGCTAATCTCTGTATTTCTCCAATTTTAGTATATGTGCTGCTGAATCTAATCCTCCCCAGTTTCTTATTCAGTAAATTTGGGGGTGAAGCCTCAGAATTAGCATTTCTGACAGGTTCACAGATAAAGCTGTTGCTCCTGGTTTAGGGAACGTACTTTGAGAGCCACTGTTCTAGGACACAACAAAAAAACAGACACGAAGAAAAAAAAAATTGGAAAGATTTGGTATTTCAAACAAAGCTTTGAACTACTTATGGGTCAAAACAGAAACTTGGGCTTCAGTTAACCTTTAGGTTTACTGTGATTTTTTTAAGCTTATTTTTGGACACATAATATTTGTACATATTTATGGAGTACTGTAAAATTTTGGTGCATGCATACTATGTTTAATAACCAAATCATGGTAATATTTCCATATCCTCAATCATTTCTACATGTTGGTAACTTTCATGCTTTTGTAATTATTTGAAATATAGATTTTTGTAGCCTATAGTCAGCCTACTAGACTGCTGAACACCAGAACTAACTTCTTCTATGTGACTGTTTTTGTCCCCTGATCTAATCTCTCTGCATTGTTCCTGCTCCATCTCCTTCCTAGTCTCACTATTCCACTCTCTTTTATGAGATCAAATTTTTAGTTTCTACAAATGAGCAAGAACGTGCAGTATTTGTTTTGTGTGCCTGGCTTATTTCACTTAACACGATGTCTTTCAAAGTGTGATTTTAAAAAAAAATTGAAATTGTATTTGAGGAGAGACATAAAACCCACCGTAGTCCTTTCACTGTTACAGGTAGCCTCTAAAAGTTCTAACTAAGCTCCATGTTGAATCCTCCAAGCCAAAGCATTTCTTTATATAAACTTCAGCTTTCATCCCTCTGTGATAATGTTTCCTTCATGCAGGTTTTCCCTGACCATGAATCTATGAATCTTGTAGTAGGCAGCAACAAATACTATGTGGAGAACAGCAAAAATCCCTCTCTCAAATCGCTTTTCTCAACAAAAAACCATAAGACAGAAACAGTGTTTTTCTTATCTTTCGGATTGATAGACAGATATATTTTGCAAGTTTAAGCCTCCCTCTCTCCTTCTCCCTCCCTCTCCTCGTCCCTCTCCCTCCCATCCCAGGAAATATTTCTATTTTACATGGAGGAAATCAGGGGCAGGAAGCTTTCAAACGTGCCCAGAACCATATGGCTCATGAGGTATGAGGTGAAGGCTTTTGGCTTCCAAACTCATTCTTTTTTTTCAGAATTTATTGTACTTCAAATGCCAACACTGGATCTAATGGAAAGGGAGAAAGGATTTGGTATTTTTAACCCTGTAGAATGAAAAAAAAACCAAAACTCTACAATTTCCAAGCCAATGAAACAGTTACTTTGTAGTTAGAAATTAGATGCAATGTGTGATACCTAAGGGAAGAACTACAGGGGAATGAAATAAAGAGAACCAGGAAAGGTTCAGGATAAAACACCTGAGTAGTTGGCCAATAGTCTTAGGGTCAGAAAGAAATCCTGTTGGCCCTTAAATGAAGATGGGGCAGAAAAGTCATGGAATCAGTTAAATCCTACTGTGTTACAAGCTACCCCCCAAATTTAGTGGCTTAAACAGAGTGTTCGTTTGCTCACAGTTCGTTGGGTTAGAGGTTTAGACAGGTCAGTGAGGACGGCTGTTTCTGCTCTGTTGTTGATGGGGTGCCTCAGCTGGAAGAGCTAAGCTGTCTTCATCCGCACATCTGGGCCTGCGTGCTGTTGGGTGGGGTGGCCCCCACCATGTGGAGATCAGATGGGGAGAAAGAGGGCGTGCAAGCGTGCTGACACGCTGCAGGGAGAAGTAAACACCCGAGGTGAAGTTTACCTGCAGGAGTACCATGGAGGGTGGGAGACAGGTGAATCCTGTGGAGCTCTAATTGCTGGAGCCCGTGCCTGAGTGGATAAAGCTGAGCTGTGCCAATCATTCAGGGTTCTATGTTAAAGGGAGACAGGAGCCCCTGGCCCCCTAGATTTTAACCTGTTTCTGTGTCTATTTCTCATCTTCGTCCCCCTTGGTCAGGTTTGAGCTCAGTTGGCAGGCTGGTTCCTGTACCTCCATCCTGCTGATATTGAGTAATTCAGTAGTCTGACTGAACCATTTTCACATGGCATCTGCTTTCAAGGGAGTGAAAAGGATCATGCAGCATTGCTTTTGTTGTGTTCTGTCAGTTGAATCAGTGGGCCAGCCTGGATTCAAAGTGTTGGGAAATGGATTCTACTTTTGATGGGAGAATGGTACAAGAACACTGCAAAAAAGGATATGGTTAGGCTGAGTGAAAGAAGCCAGACACAAAAGAGTACCTTACGTTTGATTATATGAAATTCTAGAAAAGGCAAACTAATCTGTAGTGATGGAAAGCAGATCACTGGTTGCTTGAGGCTGAGAGGTGGAGATTGCTAGCCAAGAGGCATGAGGAAAATTTTGAGGGGGGTGATGGCAGTACCCCACGTCTTGAGTGTGGTAATACAGGGATGTACACATTTGTGAAAGTGTTTGAATTTCACAGTAATTATAAGGTGAATACCTAAGATTGGAAGTAGGAGGTAAGGACTGTTGAGACTATCTTCAGAAATAATCAGCCAAACATGAAAGTTTAGATCTGAAAGGACCTTAGAAGGTCATCTGGTCCAGTGTCTTACAGGTAAGGAAAGAGAGGCCCAGAGAGAACTACTTGTCAACTTAGGGAGTCAGTGACAAAATCAGGATTGGAATTTAGACTGTAACCATAGCCTGGCTGTCATTCCTCCTGAACCCTCTATAAAATCCAGGGAAAGGACATCCTGGGCTGGAGTCAGCTGAGAGTCACCTAGATGTATGTGTCCCTAGGAGTAAGAGCTGGGCTACATGAACTGTCAGTGTCCTTTTACACTTTACAAGTTTTTAGGGTTTTGTGATGGGGATCAAACTCGGGGTCTTATACATGCTAATCAAATGCTCTACCACTGAGCTACATCCTCAGCCCCTGGTCAGCATGAAAAGTTAAGAGCAGATATTACTGTGCTCTGTTCCTCATTCTGAGAAACTAACTGCTATATGAATTGGTGTTTCTAATCCAGGTGACTGGAGCAATGTTTATAAATAGGATACTCTTGAGGGGTGGGGGAAAGAGGAGCTGGCCACCTGTGTTCCACAGTGATATATATATATTTGTTTGTTTGTTTGTTTGTTTTGTTTTGTTTTGTTTTTGTTTTTTTTTAGTTTCTTAGGAGGTTATGGTTAGAAAGGAGGGCTATGGAACTATTGAGGCATTGCTATTTACTTAAATTGTATAAAATTAATAAACTTTTAAGGTGTGAATTATTGCTAGGTTTTGTAAAGTGCTTCAGACTAGACAACTGAACTAATAGTATTGCAATAGTAATACAGCATGCAAATGTAGCATGTAGGGACTTTTAAAAAGTGAATAGAGTCCACTTGCTTTTAATATATGTTCTTTGCTCATAAATAACAGAAGACTTTGAACTTTGTCCAAGCATCTGAGACATTTATCAGGTGTATTCAACTTCTTTGGATGCCAAAGAACATTTCAAAAACACCTACAAGAGATGGCAGAAGGCTGTTAGCTGAAATTATTGGCCACTGGTACATAAGAGAGCAATACCCTGCTGATCTGGGGCGATTTACCTAGAGAACAGTGGATTTGAACAGAGAATGGAATCTGAACTTTTTTCTGCACAAAGTCACATGTGAAAATTGAATGATTCAATGGGATAAAGTTTTTTTCAAGAAAGCATCCTTCTGGGCTGGGAACTTGGCTCAGTGATTCTGCTGCCTGCCTTGCAAGGGCTGGAGTTCGATCCCTGGTACCAGGAAAGAAAGAAAGAAAAAGAAAGAAAGGAAGAAAACATCCATCTTACAGATTTCTGAAGCTTGGGTTTTTCTTCAATTAATTTTTGGTTGTTCCCCATTTTTCTAATATCTATATTTAAAAAATTAGTAAGCATTTTATTAAATGAGGAAGGGGATACTGATTTGCATCTTGGCTTCTGTCTCATAGATTCTGCGGGGAAGGGGTTTGTTCTTTTGCAAATGTGAAATGCAGTTCCAGCATAACTACTGGCCCAACAGTAACTCCAGGTGGAAAGTGGCATATTCGTGGAAATAATTCCAGCCAAAGAAATGTGCTCTTGTTTGCATTACCTCAGCTGGTTAGGCTTTGGTTACTGAATGCTTTCAGTTGGGTTAAAGACAGAAAAACAAATAGAGATCCAAAGGAATCAGCTCAGGGCTCTCTGAGACTTTAATAATCCCAAAACATTTCACTGAAGCCAGAAGGTTCCTATTAAAGGCTTTTTAAAAGTCACATTTCAACTTGCAGTGCCATGTTGAGAAATGGCTGGGCTACTCAGCAAGCATATTTATTTATAAACCCATGCAGCCTTTACTTCATAAATGCACATTTAGGTAGGCTTTTTTCAACACCACCGCGAACCACATGTGGATTGCCAGTGCTACCTCAGGGATGTGGAAGCCCTGCGTGACATAAGACTCGTAATGGAAGTGAAATAAGACTTCTAGGTCTTCTATAGCCCTGCCTGCCTGGCCTCCAGCTCCGCCAGCCATCACTGCCTTTCCGCTGAGACCCAGTGGTTGTCCAGTCACCTGCTGTTCACCACACTGGTGGTGGAGGGCTTCCCCCAGCGGGCTTATGGGATTGGCCAGGCCCAACACCAGACACCGGACAGGCCAGACCAGTTTATTAGTTGCTTATACTCATAGCACGGGAGAAGGGTTACCCACACAGACAAAATGGTGGTTGACTCGCACACAGAATGAGTAACAGGGGCTTTGTAGGAAGCAGGCTTTGTAGAATCTAAAGGGTAAGGAACCTGTGGTTTCCGCGGGAGGAGGTGACTTGACTGAATTCCACAGGCGGGCAGGACCTGAAAGCCAGTTCTCTGGGTCAGCAGGCACAGCACCTGGTCCATTGGACGAGGAGCGTTGTTTGATCGGGGACCTTATCCCCTTTCCACTGGAGCAGAAGGGAAGAGAACTTTCGGCTAGGCCATTTGAGACCCCCTTGG